ACACACTACCATGTTGTCCAGGAAGACTGCAAGCACTGTGAATGTCATTTTTTGGAAAGTATCAACAGCATATACAAAATCAATATATCAGTAGATACATCAATTTTTTTAATAATCTGCCTGATCTTTAGCAATACAGCAGTATTGGCATAGCATTCCTAAAAATTACTCTTGTTACAGGGATAACTTCAGTGGTCAGATGGCACTTGCAAAATCAGCACAGCTCTTCCAGTTAACAGAGATATATCTCAGGAAAATCAGCTTTTACCAGAGGAACTGCATCTATGCTCAGGTCATCTGCAAGCACAGTTGTGCTGTTCTGGATTTCCACTTTTTAACATGCACTGAGTCTGAAATGCAGCTGTAACCTAATATTTCAAGGAGCAATATGCCCTCTTCAGAAGGATGCTACTCCATCTTGAAAATTTGGATAGAGAAGAAGAAGATGCAAATATACCCATTTACATTTCAACAGATTTTTGAGAGTCTTTTTTTTATGCACATTAAAATGAGCAACTAGAAATCAATTCCCTTCAAGGCAGGAAATATGAGACAGAAACCAAAAATAAGACAGCTATTTGACTGTAATTTATCAAATGGCATTACTATATTTTTCAGTTACACGCTATCTATAAAGCCCCAAAATCTAGCTAAATAATAGATGTGCAATAAATTCACTGAGCAACCCACTTTATTTAATGCTAGCTAGCATTATACCGTGACTCAGCCCTACCCTTCCAGGTAGGGGACCATTGGTGCTTGTTTCTGTTATTAATAATCCAGAGGATATACTTCTCGTGTCCAGTGACCTAGTTCCAACAAGTATCACAATATAGAGGCCCATTTTCCAGTTAATAAACGTGCATAATTCCTGTGAATATTACTACTGTTTATGCACACTTGCACACTCTAGGGCATATTCATCCAAACCCAGTGATTTCAAAACATCTGAAGCAAAATTTATTTGGCCCTCTGGACTGAAAGAAACCCTAAATAATGATGGGAAGAGTCCAGCATGTTTTATTTGTATCTTTCATTTTAATGAGAATTTTGCATATTAATTCCTTCATCTCTCTGCCCACAATGCTAATGATGTTTTACATAAGATAGAAGAACTAAAGAGTTCTTAGATAGAATAAAAAACAAAGCAACAACTGAAAAACCAAACCAAAACAATAACCATAAAAACAAGAAGGAAACAAGCAAGCTAAACAAACATTTAGCTTAATGGCTAGAACATTCACTTTGGAGATCCAAACTATGTTTTCCAGACCGTCCACAGACCCACTAATATACTTAATACTACTTCTAGCAGCAAGAGTTTGGTTGGACTGCTGTGAGCAGACCAGAAGGACTCATTTCATCACGGGTAGAGAAAGGATGCAGGGGGAGTATTAGCAGATTCAAACTCCTTACAGAGACATGTTAATTGATTCCAGATTTCCTACAGCTTGAAGAGTACTTAAAGCAGAGTGGTAAAGATAAGGCTCTCATATTGCCTTTCTTAAGAGAAAAAGTTAAAAGGACTCCAGTCACCTGATTTTGCTTTGACTTCAAATGTCCTAGATATTTCTCTGCAGGAAAGGCTTGAAGGCTACCCCTCCCACATGGAAACAGATGCATATACCCTGAAGAAATGTTGAGCCTCATACACATTCCTGTCCTGAGCATTACCCTGTGGTTTTGCTTTGGCATACTGGCTTATTTCAACCTGCCTTGATGTTTAATTTTCTCAGAATGGTATCCACAAGTTTCTTCTGCTGCCATGCTCTGTGTAGGCTGCTGGGGCAGCGAACGTGGGGCAGTATTTAAATCTCTTGGTGGTTCTGGGCCTATAGTGCATAAAGAAGTCATCAGGAAATTAACTCGAAAATTGTACAAGCCTTCAAATAATTCAGCACCTTGGAATTTGACATGAGACCTAAGAAATGGCCAAAGATTCTGCATCTGAACAAGAATCTGTGCACCAAAAAGCATACCAGAAGTTTTGATGAACCTACAAGACTACAAACAATGCTAAAAATACAACAGTAACAATTATATTTCCTCTTATTTGATGCTTATTTAAAAGATTGTTCTTGATGAAATATTTTCTATAAACACTGACACTTAAAGTGCAGCAAATAATTTTTGTGTATAGTCCATTTGCACAACTGCTATTTATTTTAAGCACTGCCTGATTTGTATTCCTAATGGAAACTTCAATAGCAAACATTTCCATGCCAAGCTACAGTAATTCCCCCTTTTAGTCAATACAGTCTTCATCTACATCAGTAAACAGCACAGTACAATTGACACAAATACGCAGTGAAACAGTTTGTGTTGAGGACCTGGCATCCACATCACACACGTTCTGGATGCTTTAACTCAGACCAGTGCTAGCCTGGATCTATGAAGGAAGTGCATGCCTATGAGCAGGCACTAAAAACAGCAATACATCAGGTGTGATTCCAGGATGCATTTTCTAAAAAAGTTTCATCCACAAAACCGCAGCTTCTGTGCCCTAGGATTGTGCACTCACTCTGTAACTATGTAAAAAAAATAATAATAATAAAATAAAATAAAATAAAATAAAATAAAATAAAATAAAATAAATAGTAACGAGATAATCAGGACATTCACTTTAAAATAATGCTCCCGTGAATCCTAAAACGTGTTGGTTTTTTTTTTTGCTTAAGCTGAAGATATCTTCCATTGTATATAGAATCATAGAATCATAGAATCACCAAGGTTGGAAAAGACCTAAAAGATCACCCAGTCCAACCGTTCACCTATTCCCAATAGCTCCTACTAAACCATGTCCCTCAACGCAACATCCAGTCTTTCCTTGAACACCCCCAGGGTCGGTGATTCCACCACCTCCCTGGGAGTACATGAGTACATATGAGTACAAGAAAAGAACTTCCTTAGCATCTTAGTACAGTGGCCAACACTCTTACCAATCCATGTGAAAATCTATAGAAATCTTCTTCAATAATATCCTTTTCCGACCAAGAACTAAAATGTCATCTCTCCCACTAAAAGTTCACACAGAGAAATTATGAAGCAAAATGAGCTTCATACCTTTTTACCCCGACTACTCATTAAAGGAACTGAAATGTTAAAAATGTTTGGATCTCCTGTTGGTGGTTTCCCCCACAAAGATTAAATGTTGAGTTTGGGTTTTTGTCTGCTACCAGGCAGAAAACCCTACAGATAAGAGGTCCCCATTCTCAGACAGCCAAAGGCCATTAGTTTAGAAGAAATTCTGCGTCAGAAGGAGAAATAAATGCCTGGATTTACTACAGCTAATCGTATTTCTCTTCTGCAAATTGGAAATAAATATATGACAGTGACATTACAGAGCAGATCTCACAAAGCATAACTACCAAAGCAAGGGAGACCATCTTATTTGGTGTACACTTCTAAAAATATGTAAGGTCATAAAACTAAAAGCCAGATACTACAGCTCCCTAGGAATACAGGGCTATCTCCAAATTTCAGTACTCTTGTACTCTTCGTTTCACATTTTGCACTACCATTTTGTAAATGTAATACTGAAATTACTCTCTGATGAGTGAAGTATCTCGTGAATTATCTGTGAACACTTCACACAGCCTGTTGAAGGGAGGAAGTCCTAGCAGCTCCGAGCTATTTCGGAAGAAATTATCCCTCAAAACACACAAAATCATTAATAAATAAATAAATAAACCAATAAGCAGCTTTCCCAAAAAGAAAATTATGATTTCTAAAAAGTTAAACACTTGACATACTTTATTACTTTATTGGGAATATTTTATAGAGGCCATTTACATTCCTCAGAAACACGTAAGAGAAATTATTAGATGTCTAATCTCAGGGTTGTACACCAAGTACTATTCAAAATAGAAGCTATAAATTATCAGTCAATAACAAGCACAATACCTGAGGCAGTAAAAATTCTTTCAACTGAAAATAACAGTTATTAAAAAGTCAGTCTTTTTTAAGAAACGGATTGTGAGGCAACATCTCTAGCCATTAATATTAAAATATGTAGACAGAGGCTTATTTATGTAAGCTGAAGTTAACAGTTTTTGCAAGGGCAGTCATTAAAAAGAAGGAGCTAGGTGAAAATTTACAGTCATCTGGTTCAGGGCTGAAGAATTTCAGGATTGGGCTCTAGTACATGTTTAAGGAAAAAGACAGTCCCACTGCTCTGCAGAAATCATCAGTTTACTCAGTATTATCTACTCACATTTGAAAAGCTTTTTAAAAATTTTATTCAGCCTGACATTGTATTTATGAACTGTTCTGATCCTATTCTTCATCACTGCTATCCTGTATTTTCCTAATTAAAATTACTTTGAAGTCTCTGACCTTCAGGCAGACATTCGATTCTGAATTAAAATATAATTATCTTTGTAACATGAACACACTTTTAATGCAGCCCCCATGCACTTCTTGTTACAGACTAAATATAAGGAAAAGGCTACGTTGCATTTGATAACATAATAAAGAATTAGAAGAAAATAAACTGAGCAACCTGGCTTTCCTTTCATACCTGTCAAGAGACAGCAGGGAAAAAACAAAGGCAGCATTTAAAATTTAGAGAAGGAAATTCTTTGTACACAGTGCATAATGCAGGACATACTGCCACCACAGCTCACAGCTTTTGTTGGAATTAACAGAAGGACAGTGTAGGTCCATCAGTCACAGGGTTGATATTCCAGTGGTACTACACAGGCAGTGTATGGTTTACTGAAATGAACTGCAGCCACTCACTGAAGCTGAAACAGGCCCGAAAATTACAGAAAGTGCATTTCTTTGCATAACCCACAGGTTTTTTTCTTAAACTTTTGGTTACCATAGCTATCAGAAGAGTTGGCACTGTGAGGGCAATGCTTCCTATTAACCTCTCTGTATTCACCATTGCTTCTCCCAGGAATTCCTCAGTCTAGAAGAAGGGCAGCTCAAGACCATGTGCTGCTTTGCACCACTTGTAACCTCTTGTAAAGCCAAACAGGAGGAAATTAATAACTTACCTTTACATAAAGCTGCTGAAACTCTTCAAGGTTCAGCCTACCACTTGGACAGTCCTTTAGAAATCCTTTGTACCACTGTTTTAGCTCATGTTCATTGAACTCCGTGCTCTTCACCAGATCTTCCATCACCTCAGGGGCCAGCTTGCTATTCTGTTTCCCCATTCTGCCTTAAGAAGAAATAAATTAATATAATTAGCCAAGTTGCTGTGATCATTTTAAACTCGATTAGGGACAAAACTCAAACGCATCACTTGTTTTGCAGTCACTCGCTGCTCCTTTTAGTCAAACACAGCTTTACAGATTCCCCCAGTGAACAGGAAGCTAGGTTATGTTTGAACATCAGGGGATGAAATGGTGAAAAATACAACATACATCTATCATTCAAGGCCTGGACACAGCTCATCTACCTTCAAATTAATGATGAAAAGAAATATCTTGTCTTTAATAACAATATCACCTAAGTGAAAGATTTTCTTTCTGGTTTGGTGAGATGATTCCCCATCCTTTGGAAAGTACTATCTCATTTCTGTAGTGCTACTACCACATCACAAAGTTGCCTCCATATTAGTGATTCTTATCATTCTTAGCTTCTCTTCATACGAAAGCTGAAAACACTGACTTCACTTCTTTCATTTTTTATTTTTTTTTAATGTAACAAAAACTTTTCACATATTTAGGGATGTCCACAGAATCTTCCTCTTGACAATGTCTCTGATATGACATTGGCATTAGCAGCTACTCCTCACAGGTACAGGGCTGTTGAGAGGCTGCACTGTGGGGAAGCAATGATACAGACAGCATCACTGTTAACTCCAGAGATATCCATCACATTTGTCATATGCACCTTGCATTCATAGATACAAAACACACAGAAACACAAAATATGCATGTTTGCATATGTAAGTACAGAACTCCCAGAGATACTGATGTTGACCTTTCCTTAGAGATAGCTTTAGAGATAATTTGTTAAGAAATCCTTTCCTTTAACCTGTTCCAGTACTACTGAACTACAGTTAGCTCACAACAGGAGATGTCTCTTAGTTACTTTGTAATTGCATGACACACGGTACTTAACTTGTCCTGTACAGTGCTGCAAAGAGATGAATAATTTCTTGCCTGAGCCTAGCTTAGCATTTCCACTTTTATCTTCCAGTATAGCATCTGTCTCTAGTGACAGAATTGCACTGAATGCATTGGTTTCTAGTCCACAGCATCACCCATTAATGATATTAATCTATCGCTTTTGGCATCTTCTCCTATTCCTACGTTTTGTTTCTTTCCCTCAGAAAGAGGTACTTTGTTCTGTTCCAGCAAATCAGTATGTTTAGAAAACTTCACAGGAACCATCCTTGACCAGGCTTCTCATTCCTCCCCACTTCTGCACAACTAATACATCCCCAGGTGCCATGCCACCAGCAGCATCCCCAGCACCAAGAAGGACAATGTTGTTCTACAAAGCATTCAGCTCGTACAAAATTGAGAAATCCAGTCTTTGGAAAGTACAAAGGTCACTTCAGCACAAACACTGGAGAATTCGACCTTTCTGTTAACTCCCACAGGCCTAACTGTACATGCAGGTGTCTAGTAACTAGCTGTTATGCTGAATGGTGGGTTGCAATTTATGGCGTGTAGAACACTTGCCCCATCCTTTTTTTGCCTTCTTTTCTTCCTTCTCTAAACAATATTACCCGTCATAAGGTGCTTTGCTTAGGACCCAGAGGACCCTTAAAAATTCTCATCAGTTGTAGCAACTACCTTAGGTAGTTTCACAAGGCAGCTTCTAAAAGTTGAGGGAACTGGAATTGTTTAGCTTGGAGAAGGCTCGGGGGAGACAGCACTGTGGCCTTCCAATACTTGAAGGGAGTGTATAGACAGGAGGGAGAATGGCTGTTTATGAGGATGGATAGTGATAGGACAAGGGGGAATGGTTTTAAACTGAGACACATGAGGTTTAGGTTAGATCTTAGGAGGAAGTTTTTCACACAGAGGGTGGTGACACAGTGGAACAGGTTGCCCAAGGAGGTTGTGGATGCCCCATCCCTGGAGGCATTCAAGGATGTGGCTCTGGGCAGCCTGGTCTGGTGGTTGGCGACCCTGCACGTAGCAGGGGGTTGAAACTAGATGATCACTGTGGTCCTTTTCAACCCAGGCCATTTATGATTCTAGATCTCATAATTTAGCCAGGTATGCTTTCAACTATCTCATTTCACTTGGATCTTTAGCCCCATTAATATTTACCTCAGTGTTATAAAAAAAAAAAAAAGCATCTTCAGATGGGCAGAGATCCAGTATTTCTGACTGACAGATTTTCTATTATTGCTAGTGTAAAAAACACTTGTGTGCATTCACTGTGTTTGCTCTACAGTCCATGAACTTACACTGAGATGGAAGCAGACAGAACCTGTTCCACAGTTTGCTACGTTATTACTGCTAGTGTGGGCACAAAACACGGAGCATGTCTGCATGTATGTAAGAATAAAGAGCTGGACAAACATCCACATATGAAACCTCTTCTAATATGAGATACAGAGAGACAATTCCTTTTCTGCCTTGGTGATGCAGGCCTCTAGTTTTGGTAAGCTTCTTGTTCAGACACAGGTTGTTCATTGTGTCCTAAAAATCTTCCATCCTCTACTAAATCAATGAAAAGCGTGGCTTAATAAAGACCTTCCTAAAGTGTTCCACAGAAACAAACCAATATTTGAAAAAGGTGTAATTTGGGACTGATGGGCTTTGTACTTTTACCTGCTGCTCCAGTACAGTATGGGACATGCTGTGCCTTGCTCTGTTTGAGATGAGGGACTGCACAAGCTGACCAAGCTGGTCACAGTGCCTGCCTGTAATTAGGCACCCATTCTTTCTTCTCGATTCAAAGCTCTTTTCCTACAGAATTGAATTACAATCTGTAAGAATGCTCAAGAGGCTCATATAATTATCAAATATAAACGCACACTTCTGGCTCTTGGAGATCCAGCTTATTTGGGAATAAAAACTCAAATACATAGATTATCCAGTTAATCACATGCTAACATCTTCTGGAGTTTCATTGAATCCCTTATTATTATTGAAAAAGTACAATCACCCATTAGCAATGAGTATGCCACTGCCAACACATTTAATTCTCTAAAATGAAAACTACTTTTAATTAACTTATAATCATGGTTTCCTAAACATGTTGTTTTTTTTTTTTTCTTGTGAAGATCTATGAATATGCATTAGGAAAATACAGGAGAGCACAGCTGCACAATCACTAAATCTTCAAGAGGAAAGGTCACTCTGCAAGCATTTCTTTGTCTAGTAAATTTTATTCTTTCAAAAAACAAATTTGCTTCCAAATTCCATGCTTCCAACCACGCAATGTGACTATTCAAGCAGTGTTATTCATTTTCTGTTGCATTTTCTAATCAGCAAAAAAAAGTGGGGGGAAATAAAGAGAAAAAAAAAAAGGCAACATGCTTTGGTTCCAAATAAGTATGGGGGAAAAATTCATGATAAAGAATGAATGAGCGAGGTGGGTGGTTTTGAGTATGGGTAAAGGTGTCGAGCTTGTTCTCAGTGAAATTTCTTTAGTAGGAGAATGCTTATTAATATTAGCAAGAGCAATACAACGCAGGTTAGAGATCAAGAAAAATACTGAAACTCTTATACTGTGTCACACACAGCAACAGCAATAAAGGCTGAACTTAAAAGAGACACCCTCTTGGCTGTAGCGCATCAGCCACCCACAGACATCGTCCTCCCAGAAATGCTTAGGGCAGCAGGACGCCGGCTGTCACACAGCAGCACCTGAACGGCTGCTTTTACACTTGGAGGGTCAGTTTTAAAAGCTGGAATTTTATTAAAGAACAGATTCCAAACCTGGGGCAGCCCAGACTGTGCCAGCAGCAGGCAGGGAAAATACGAAGATGCTTTCCAGTTCTCCCCTGATGAATCATTTGCTCAATATCTTTCCTGTGATGCTACCCCATGTTCCACATGAGGTTTAAAAACTGCCTGCTCTCCATACGGCCATCACCCAAATCCCCTGGCCAACGGCAGGGCTTTTCCCTGAAGTATTTTGCAGCTATTCCCACACAGGTTCGTCAAGTCTGCCTTTCCCACATGGTTTGCTAGTACTAAATTACCAGCATGAGATCAGTTAATAATGAGATTAAAGTTCTGATTATTAAAACCTAAGCAGAAGGAAAAAAAAAAAAAAAAAGTTGAATTTCAATAGCAAAACATGACTTACGGAAGCTCCTTTGCTCTTTAATGATTTCAAAATAACTCCAAACTGTTGGTAACACAGCTCCAATCCCACCTGCTTCCTTTTTCCCTTTCACTCTATTCCCCTTTGGCCTCCTCGGCAGGTTTTCAATTTTGAAAGATACCAAGTGCAAACAAATAGAACTCTGGTTGTTTCTATGGAAGAGTAAATAGTACTGCTAAAGATGTCATATTTTGTGCTGAAAAAAGGACCTAAATTCCTTTGAAAAGACAGCTACAGCAATGTCCACTCAGGTCTCCAAAAATCCAGTTTTGTGCCTTCTTGCTTGCTTTGCTTACCTCAGTTCTATAACACTATTTTCTTACCAAGTTGCATTAAGAGTGTTGCCAGCAGGTGGAGAGAAGTGATTCTTTCGCTCTGCTCAGAGCACTCTGGGTGGTGAGGCACCCGGAGTTCTGGGTCCAGTTCTGAGACCCCAGTACAAGAGAGACTTGAGCATGCTGGAGAGACCCCAGTGTAGGGCTTTGGAGGGGGCTGGAGCATATGTCATACACAGAGAGGCTGTGGGAGCTGGGGCTGCTCACACTGGATTTCGGAAGGCTCAGGGGGGCTCCTATCAATGTGCAAGTTCCCAAGGGGTATTTAAAGAAGACAGAGAGAGGCACTACTAGTAGTGAGCAGGGAGGTAAGAAGCAATGGACACAAACTGAAATTCGGAAAATTCTGAAAGCTGTAGAAAAACTTTTTTTTTTTTTTTTTAAAATGGGTACAAGTTACCCAAAGAGGTTGTGGAGTCTCCACCCCCAGCAATACACAAAGTCCTGCCTGAGAACCGTGCATGAGAAGGGTATTGGAGTACATTGTCTCCAGAGGTCCCTTGCAACCTCACTGACTCTGTGAAACTATTAGGGAGAAATGTAGCAGACATACGGCTTGACTATTGGTATCCCCAGTAGACTAGTTTCATTAAATTTCCTCCATAGGTAGCTGGGAATCAAAAGGATCACTTAGAGGTGATGACCACAGTCACCTCCTCCCCTTATCGACCCCAAAGGAGCGCAAGCAGATTCACCTATGACCCTGGGCACAGATACCTACCTGCCTCTAAGCACTGGGACTGCCCCAACTTATCAATACATTTTGTCTGCTTTAACACCTGCTGGTTTCCTGCTCTTGCTTTGCCAGTCATCCTGCATGACCTGAGGGAGAAGGTCAATCAGCATCTCTGCAGCTACATGGAGTTATGTGCATTAAATGAGTCCTCTAGTAAGGCACACATTTTTCTTGCTCTTGCCTGGCTTGGAGAAATGGGAATGAGTCGTGTGGACTATGCCAGAAGCAAATGACAACACTCCCTTTGCCAGCTCAGCTGTGCTGGCAGGCACTCATTAGGTTGGAAGGAAAGCTGTGCTTCATCCCCACCCCTCTGCCCACTCCCAGCCCACAGCCTCCTACACAAATGTGCTGACTCCTGGGTACTACATGTGAAATCCAGGCACTAAGCAGGCAAGCATGGTGGGTGTCTTTGCAATCTTTGACACAATACAAATCTATTAATGGTACATTAAACACTGTATAGACTCCAACATACACAGATATATAGGGGGAACAAAACCCAAAGCAATTAAATGCTGGGGAAAGCACAGAACTATGCATATAATTCACAATAACAGAATAATTTTCCCTTTATTTTTGATCAGGCTGTTAACTGAATTTCCAGCTATGTGCTGCTAAGAACTGTAACTCTTGACAGCTCCCAGCATTGTTCCTTTCTCCTCAGGCTTCTTCTGCCACTGCCCTTGCTCTGCTAATGTCGGCATGAAGGATGGATGGAAGCAGCTATCGAATCACACAGATGCTTCGATCCCTCACATACACTTACTGTTTATTTCACAGAAGAAATCTGGAGCCCCATCCTGTCACAAACAGAAAAGCCAACAATCTCATCCAAAGCCTCAGAAGAGTATGAGTGGATGAGGAATTTTCCCATCCAAACCCCACATACGGGCTACAATTGTAATGACCCTATCAACAGCACTGCTTCCTTGGCAACTTGTGAAGCATCTCTTCTCTTGAGCTACCATCACCATTTCCAAGCCATTCTGCATGAAGCAGGGATGACCCCCAGCTATGCCCTACCCCGCTGCAGAACCACGCTGCACAGGGAATGCCTTTTCTACCTCTAACACATGAAAAAGATGACAATCCTTCAGACAAGGTAGTTTTGCTAGTGCTGTATGACACCGTAAGGATCTTGTGATGTAGTGGCATCAAATTACTACAACAGTTTGAAGGCACCAACATAGTGGAAGACCAACAGGGACAAGCAGTGCAGAGGTCTCCCCCTTACACAATTCTGAAGCCCTGTTAGGAAATTTTCACAAAACATATTGGTTTACACCAGGGAACAGTGGAAAAAACGTAATTAAGCAAAATTTATGTGTATAAACCCATACTGATGTTCAGAACAGTCGTAACATTCTGTTGATAACATAAGCCATGAACTAAGTCTGAAACAAACAGGCTAGGTTCTGATAACATTACATTACAGTAAAAACTGGAATAAATCCAGTTATTTTAGATTACTCTACTGACTTTACTAAAGATCAGATTCAGGCCTGCAATCTCTCTGCATAAAAGAAATGGGAAAAATAGAGGGTAATGACATTAAGGAATGCAATTATCCAACTGAATTGAATAATAAAAGGGAGAGTAGAGTTTGGTTTAAGCAAAAGAAAAGATATATATATTTTTAAATGATATTTGAAATGAGATGGATCTTCAATTAGATTCAAGCAATGATAATAATAATAATAAAAAAAAAACATTTGAAAGGGTAAAAGCTGCAAAGAAGGATGCTTTAACATAACAACTGGTAGGAAGGGCTTTTTTTTTTCTCTAGGTGACTAGGGAACAGAAATTAGATTTATTTTATTAAAAACAAGGAAGCACTGGAATTTGTTTTCTGCTGAGTGTGAAATGAAACAAGAAGGGAACTCTTTACACTTGAATGTGCAAATTGAGAGCAACCCTAGACACACCAGTCACTCCACAGTTGATCCATTCCTGTGGGTCACAGTAGGGCTCTTAATCAAAGCCCAACTCCAAGGCCAGCAGGTTGTGATCTGATGTACATCGCAGGGTACTATTTCTGCTCCTCTCCTCATCAGGATTAGGAAACTGCTTACAGCATGCCATGACTGTCTTTTCTCCTTTGCAAGTGGACACACGAGAAAATTTGTAGCATAAAGCAGAGGCTCCTCTGTGTCGGTCAACAGGAGCAAAGAACTCAAAAGAGCTCCAGGCTCTACCACTTAGCTCTACCCTTGTCAGACAGGGACAAAATCTCTCCCTCACTTGCTCTTTCTCTCTATTTAGACCAGAAGGAGGGCATCCACATGTCTACAGAAAGTATTGGCTTACAAGCTTAAGAAAATTTTTACTGAACTTTTCCTCCTTAATTCTTTTTTGCTTCATTTTATGCCATAAAATAACTTTTTTTTTTTTTTTTTGGTCGTGTTCATTTCTCTTTCTCAGCATTCAGACAGCATTTGGTGACCTATCTGAGATCTCCTAGACAATTGAGAGAATCATTCCTGAAGGGAACAATAAATATGCTTGTTAACGGTTAGTGTCAGACAAACACGTAAGTGAATCTGTTGCCATAGTTTCATTTTGCTACTGGCCCAGCCTCTATCAGCTGTGGTCATCAGTAAGTAACGTGGAATGTGAGCTGTGAAGAAGTTTCATTTATCAGCATTTGGATTAATGTTTTCTAAACTGGCCTATTCTCTCAAATTTTGCCCTCACTACTGCAGTACATTTACTGCACATTTTTCTAATAATTCATATGCTAAACACCTTTCCACATTTACATAATGGCTGGTATGATCATCCAGAATGTTCCACCAGTAGAGCTTTGGATTCTGTGACAAGTTTGTTACATGCCTTACATCGAACGTACTTTGATTGACTGGTCTGAGGTTTTATTTTAGATACTATAGCTTCCAGAAGGTTCTTCCATGCGAGACGCCCTCAAATCTATGACTTTCTGGACGTCAGGAATTCAACATGCCCGCTGGAACAAGTTGCATCTCAGCACTGATCTTTAAAAGATGTGCATTTTAATAGCTGATTTTTAGGTATTTCAGAGACTTACTGACTATTCCACCTCTTCTGGGACAGCTGCTGCAAATGTTGCTTGTTTGGAAGGCAAAATTGACAACTGAAAAGTAGAGTTTTCCTGAGTGAGTTCCACTCTTCTTTTGGAACCATGGGACCCCATTTATATATAAATACACATAAAGAAACACATCTAATTTTCTTATGTCAAACTAGACCAGCATTGCCTCTGCCTGAGAAATTGATTTTTCTGTCAATTTGTAGACCAGAGTTTATTCAAATGTTGTTTTTCTTGATCCTTGATGCTTGGGGATAAGATTTCTTAGACTTCAGACATAGCCCTTGACCACATTTACCTACAACCACTTTTTTTTTTTTTCCTTTAAGCTTTGTTCATTTTTAAGTAAATACTCATTTATTCCAGACAGTATTCTGGAAGAAGAATACGTGTTTTCATTCCACACATATTTCAGTCTGATTTGCTAGCAGTTTGCATTGCTGCTAGTTTAGTCACTGTAACCTTATGCTTGATATGAGAAAATTAGCAAAATTCTCTACATTTGTATGTTTACTAAGAGTTATTGCTCACCTTCCAGTCTTATTCTAATTTGGGTTTGAAGTCACCACATGCCTTTCTAGGATCATGGAGTTCTGCTCATGATACAAACTTTTTATCCACATTCCTCATCACCATCTTACTTTTCTGCCCTGGTGGATGAATCACATTGAACACTAGCTATTTAAAATGTTAGTTGTCTTTGGTCCTTCTGCAGTCAATGGAGACGGCCAGCAATCTTCAGAGTGATTCACTCCATGCAGAGAAAGCAGTCTGTAAGAGGCAGGATGAATATATGTATGTCTATTTTAAGACAGGATGATTCACTCTCTACAAGTGTTTCCTTCTTACTGATGGTTGTACAAGCCACATGGCAAACTCGCTTAGATGTGAAACTGGATCTTTAGATGCTTAAATTGAAGTG